CTAAATTGTATTAACATAAATTAATCCAAGGAGCACATCTTATTAGATGAGGTCTTTAATCTGCTTAAGAAATTCAAGGGAAGAAACTAATATTACAGATTTTCTCATCACCTTAGTCCAAAATCAAGTTTTTTTTTTTTTTTTTTGAGTTGCTAGACACAGGTTTGCTTCTATTGGACACATGGACAAAAACTAAACGTGAATACCTCTTTTAATAGAAACTCAAACTTTACAAGGGATTAGGCCCTTCTGTTAAAGCTAATTCCTGTTGGTAGTCCAAAATTATATGTTTTTTTTTTTTGTGTTGATAGCAAAGTGTATCATTTTATGAGAAGCAATCCTAGTTGAGATACTGTCGGATACTAAATATGATTATATAGAAGATTTGGTTACTCAAGTGGAAACTGTTCAAACTTGTGGTTCGGCTTTTGGAGTCAAGCTATTGGGCCTAAGTCAGCCCAAATAACTTCTACCAAGTTTGGGTATCACTCGGCCAGATGGATTGGGCTTCATGTGGGCTGACATTTCTGAGTCCCACTCTCCTTCTTACCCTTCGATGGACTCTGCCTTTCCCAGTTCAGCCCATCCCCAATCTTCAAACTTGCCGGTTTCCTTGAAGCAGCGAAGAAGAATGGTTAATGATGAGGCCATTCGTGAGGGGAAGATATTTAAATCTAATCGCTTATCTAACAATGGGTTAATAGCATTCTTTCTCTCTCTTTATTACTGTCGAACGATAATTTATTCATCATAAATCCTATGGCTTTGAGATAGTTTGAGGGGCCACATATAAGAAATTAGATCCTAGATTATCAATTTTCTACATACTTTTTGTATAATAATGCGTAGCCAAAACATAGCCATATTTTGTCTTGTATTAATTCTTCTTCCTCTCGAAACGACGGCGTGAGATTATGAAGTGTTTCTCTGGATGTCTGTTCTTGTTTTGCGGTTGGTTAATTTGTCATGGTGTTAAGACTTATTTAGGAGAGTTTTTGGCATTTTTAAAAAAGCAATTAAAAAAACTACTTTCATCTAAACTGACACGATTACATATTTATTTTGTATAAGTTTTTTTCACATATTTACTTTCTATATTATAAGATCATTTTAAAAAAATCTAATCTTAACATCCTCGTATATTTGTTTGTATTTTTCTTTTGGCCGTGGACTTCTCTTTGCTTCCGCTCTCCATGTTCTTAGAAGTGGCTCACTTTGTGATGTTGCTGAACTACAAACTAATCTTATTTAGGAGGGGAGGTCGTATTATTTTACTTTCTTTTAATAAAATTTGTTTGTAAAAAAAAAAAAGCTAGCTTGCGGTGTAAAGGCCCATTTTTTTTAAAATAATAATAATAATAGGGAAAAAGTTGAGAGAGAAAACATAAATTCGTTTGAGTTTATTTAGGATCTCACGACTATTGTTTCTTTCTATTTCTATGCACTTCTTATCTCAATTATTAAGATTAAAATTTTAACAATTCAAATTTTATATTTCAAAAAATAATTTCATAAAATAATAATTATTATTATTTTGAATTATCCTGACTAAAATTTAGTTATTTTATTTTATGTTATTCATTTTTTTTAAAAAAAGTTTAGTATTTTATTTATATTTCATAAATATGAAATCTGTTAAAATTTTAATCTTTTGATTAGGACGTGAAGTTGATGAAAAGGTTGGAGGAGGGGCAACTGGAGACCCCTTTCCCATTTTTTCCGTCGTGCCAGCGAGAGCAGAGTTAAGAAGCTTCAGTCGTCGCTTGCCGTCCTTCTCGGTCCGTCGCCGGTGAGCATGTCGAGGCCTCTGCATGTTGCTGCTGTATGCGGCCGAACCTGAGTTCCGTTCTGCGTTGTCAGCTTATCTTCTTCTTCCTCTGATTCGATCGACGCTTCTGCGGGTATAGGTGTGTACTGAGCTTCGGTTCTTCTTTGCAGTTCCGACCTCATCTTCTTCTTCCTCTGCCTCTTACGCCGCTGCTGTGCCGAGGTCGTTGGAGTTTTCTTTTTCTTCTTTTCTGCGGCTGCGTTCTTCATCCTTCTTCCTCCTTCCTGGCTACCGCAAGACGTTGTGTGTGTGGGTAATATCGAACCGTTCTCCTGCATTGCTGTCACGTTGATTGGATTTATCTGTATATTCAAAACCTCTCATTCTGATTGTTTGCGGCGATTCTTGCGTGAGGGGCTAAGGTAATTTTCTTTCCCTTACAGCTGCGCATCTGGAATAAGATTGAAATTTGGGGTTTTATTTGGCTTTAGTATTGGGCAAGAAAGCTTGCTTGAATGGGCATTTTGCTGAAATCATACACTGTTGCAAAAGAAGAAGACATGGGTTCTGTTTATTTATAAGTTAAATATTGTTAAAAGATTTAATTAAGGAGACTTTGTGATCTATACTAGACGTTTGAAGTTGTTTGGATGGTAATATGAGATAATATGTTGATTGTTTTATGACTTGATTTATAATGCACATAAGGTGTTTGTTAAAAAGTTTGGAAGGAAATTATAAACAAATGAGTAGTTAATTGTGAGTAGAGTTATATGGGTTAATTATAGTGTGTAAATTTATTTGATTTTCATGTTATAGCAAGCGGATTCCTTTCTTCACAACTCTAGATATTTATGGATTAAGATTCGTGAGTGGAGGTTAGTTGCATATGTTAGAAGAGAGTTGGACATATAAATTGGATTTTGTTTTGTGTCGGTAAGAAAGTATTAGTTTGAGGTAGTAAATGAAATAGCAGTAGAAGTTATGATTCTATGTTTAGATGATTGCTTAACTCATTAATTAAAATCTTGTGATGAGATATTATGAATCTCTGATAGAAAATTATAATGGAATAATAATGACTTTGTGTTGGTCATTAAGTTATGTACTGGGGGCTTAGTAGGCAAGTGAATAGCATCTCAATAATTTTCACAAATGATATTTTTACTACTTGCTATACTTTCAATTAAACTACCAAATTTCTTAAACAATGGTTCATCAAGGCAAATTTGTTTGGAATTACATCATTTTGTCATTGATATTTAAATATATAATTAATAAGAATTTTATTTAATGTTATTTGTTCTTCATTTTATCTATATTGAACACTCGTGCATGGAAATTGGAGGAAACTTCTGAGATATGATTTGTAAGCTTTCATGCCGAAGTCTTGTAAAATGTTCTTTCATGAGCTTTTATTATGTGAAGTTTTTTTTTTTTTCCCGCTGTGGTAATTTAATTCTACACATGCTTGAAAGCGTTTTTTGAGAACTGAGTACAGAACACTGGTTGCTAATATTAGTACTATTAGTCATTGACGTGCCATGATTAAAACATAGCTAGCTTGATAATCGTAGGCGCATCATTGATGCTTGATATTTGTGGGCACGTCATTTGTGCTTGTTATTTGTGGGCATTGTTCTTATGCTTGTTTTCATTGCTTCAAGTCATGCTTTAATTGGTTATATACCATGCGCTTGTCCAAGCTTATTGTTTTGTTTTGTTTAAGTCCTTTTAAATAATGAGATTTTATATTATTCGTGAATTGAACTTTTATAGATAAGTTGTTTTATTACATATTTAATTTTGTTCATTTAATAGTCTTATATATAATTTCATTTTTGCTTATGATTGTATACTTTAGAATTTGAAAATAATTGTTATGTTTTTATGTTATACAGAGGCATATATGTTTAATCTATTTCTTTCAATATTTATTTAATTTCTATAATTGGGATGTTAATCATTAGAAAATTATGGCCTTAAATAGTGTAGGTGACCTTATTGCTCCAACAGATTGGTGGGGCAATTCCTTGCTCATTTTGAACTAACATATAGTTAATGTAAGGTTAAACTTATGTACTCATCTGGTCCTAAATATAAGACCCTTATACTATTGTGTATAAAGGTCTTATATTTAGGACCGGAGGAGTATTTACTTTTGTAATTTAGGTGCTCCATATAGGTCATAGACTGGATCATCGCCTTATTTATGTGTTGGATGGTTGTTGATCTGGGGTGGAGCGCTTTTTAACTGAATTGTACTATCAAAACCTCTGCAGGAAGTTGCTAATTTTGTTCTGCATATATAATTGAGAGATTTATATATTACAGGCTTAAGGGATATGGGCTTCTTATATTTCAGGCTAGTCACTCCTAAATTTTCAAGACGTGGCGTAGCAAGTTTCATTTACTTGTGGATTTTCTATAGAAAAACAATTGAACTTACAAATTTAAGTGAACATGCAAAGCCTAGTGGTTAATTGGGTTTGAGAGGACTTAACTCCTCTAAAGTTCACGAAGTTTGAGCAAATATGAGCCATTGATAAAATGAAGTTACAAGATCATGCCATGTAATAAATGTGGTGATGCTTTGCTTTAATGAGTCCAACGCTGTAAATTGTGGTGCCAAAGGCTTCCAGTATTCCCTCCAATTTATGTGCTGCATTATATGTTGTTCTCTAAAGTTAAGAGACTAACAGCAAACACAGCTTTAGCAAAATCTTCAACACAGAAAATGATTCAGCCTGATCAAAACCTTCTAGCTGATGTTAGGATGGTTAAGATCAATTCCATAACAAGAGAGCAGTATCACATTCACACATTAGGACTCAAATTTCCTTACCACCCATTAGCACGCAACCTACTAGTGATGCCCATTTTCTTATCACCCACTAGGACTCAAAGTTCGATTCCTTAGAATATACTCTTTTTGATACTATATGTAGGAGCTAGTTAGGATATTTACTTAAAATATACAGAACACTTCTTAGTTGCCACCATCGGCATCACTGGCAAACTCGACAACCTACTGATTGCTGCCCATGACGGATAGTCGGAGATAAAGGAGGCGTATTGACATTCTAATATGATTTCCTTTTTTGGGAATCAGAAGTGTTGTGGCTAATATGTAAACATTTGTACACTACACATGTTGATACTAAATTAAGGATAATAAGTATAGGAAGACCTAGGATCATAAAATGCTTCCCTGTCATATGCCACGTCATGTTTATCTAGCACTGATTGTTGTACCAGTAATTTCGTTTACAGAAGGATCTTTAGATGTTGAAGATTCTGAAAGCTCTGCATTCGAATTGAATAGGAATGCAGGTCTTCGAGGTGAGGGGAGGGACACTTCATTGCCAAGCATGTAGATTACTTCTGACATGGAAGGCCTATAGGAGGCATTTTCTTGCACACACAACAGCCCAATATGTATACATCTTCGGGCTAAGTCAATTGGATATGCTTCACCAAGTATTGGATCCACCATGTCCAAGGATTTTTCTTCTCTCCACATCTCCCACACCTACCAAAAAAATTGCAATATCATTTCATTATTTGGGAAAAAAAAATACCCATCAAAATTTTGAAGCCAATATTTCTAGGGCTTTCAAATTAAATGAGAGGAAATGAAACAGATCAATGATTATTTGAATTTCATCCTCTTGTATCTTTAGTCTTACATGTCCAATTAAATTTACAGATGATCTTTCTTTATCGTGATCTGTGTTTCTTTTTCCACAAATAATCTCTATCAACAGAATCCCAAAACTGAAAACATCAGATTTTGTTGAATATTGTCCTTCCATTGCATATTCTGGAGACATATAGCCACTGCAATAAGAAACACAGCTATGACATGAGATTGTTATTGAACTGAGTAGGTGATTTTATTTAAAAGTATGCATAAGATTTTTGTTCTTACTATGTCCCAACAATTCGTTTTGTATTTGCTTGGATTTGATCCTCTCCAAATATTCTAGCCATTCCAAAATCTGAAATTTTGGGATTCATTGCGAGGTCCAAAAGGACATTGCTAGCTTTAAGATCTCTATGGATTATTTTCAACCTCGAATCTTGATGAAGATAGAGAATGCCTCGAGCAATTCCAATGATGATGTGAAAACGTGTATCCCAATCTAGTGATGATCTTCTATCCCTATCTGCAATGAACCTTAATAGCTTCTTAACATTGAAAATGTTGGAAACCTTATCTTGATATATCAAACACATACAAATTAAATAGGGAAAATTTCATTTTATAGGACCAAATGAGAGACTTATTTGTATGATGGGTCAAATGGAAAATCCTTAAAAATTGAGCAAAAATTGCAAAATTAGCAAGAAGACAAGCAAAATAATCAACATTGCAGCAAATTTTTTTCTCTCTAGTTCTGTTCCTTGTTTTCATCCTTGATACATGCTGAACACAAATGCTTTGAGCCGTTTCGTAGTACGACCTTAGTTTTTTTCCCAAAAAAAAAATTTCTTTATTGACAATGTTTATGATAGGTGGAAAATCATGGACAGACACCGAATATAATGAAATGATAATCTAATGAAGTAATATGCAATTTGTCTCTTCTCTAATTTATTGGGGTATGTTAATTGAAAGTGTGATATCTGAAAGCAATATTAGTCTAGAGAAAGGGAAGGAGAAGAACACGCACCAAAGAGAAAGAAGTCCAAGCTTTTGTTGGGTAGGTATTCATATATCAGCATCCTTTCTTTCTTATGAATGCAATAACCAAGCAACTTTACAAGATTCCTGTGTTGCAATCTTCCTATCACCTTAATTTCATTCTTGAACTCTTGAGTTCCTTGTCTGGAACCTTGAGACAATCTTTTCACTGCTATCTCTTGTCCATTAAATAATGAGCCCTGAAAATTAAAAGGTAGTCACAATCCAGATAAGCAATTAATCATAAAAAAAAAAAAACTCTTACAATAAATGAGCAGCAAGGCGAATTGGAAATGACAAGATGAGATGCAAAAACTGAGAACAGGTCATGATACATTAATAACTCAAATAAATTTTTTGGTGATTAGATTGTGTGTACAAGAGTGCACAGAAATATTTTCATTTTTAAATATTTAACTTACCTTGTACACAGAACCAAATCCACCTTGCCCCAATCGGTTCTCATTGGAGAATTTATTTGTTGCAACCATTATGGTTTTAATGCTGAAACATGGTAAGCTTGGTTGTGCTCTATTTTCATCATGGTACTGCTCTTCTATTGGAGAATCTATTTTCATTTGTTCTTCAGTTATTTCACCACCTAAACATGGCGAAAATGAGAGGTTGGAATAACGCTAAGAAAATTTGAATAATATTAACAGTAGAACAAAAAGATACCCAAAAACCAATGCCTTCAATATCAGATAAAAAAAATTTAGCCACGGGAAAAAAAAAACCCATTTAATTATCCGACGGCAACATACATACATACATCCATGTATTTTAATTAGTTTCGTGGGGTCAAAGAAAAAGGGGATGAGTTGCAAAAGATTAACAAATCAATGATAGGTAGATCCAAAACAAAAAAAGGAAAAAGAAATCTAAAAAAAGAGCTACAAGTATCGGTTCAAAACCATTGAAAAAAAAAAAAAAAAAAATCGCAAAAAGGAATCTCAGTTGCGTATATATAGAGAGAGAGAGAGAGAGAGAGTTATATTTGAAAATTAAACGCTTTATTTACAATTTAAACTCATGAATCTACAGTTGTTTGAATCAATATTTACAAAAGAAAAAAAATTATCAGAAGTAATTGTCAATAATTCGCTCTTTTTTTGGGTCCATCAGGCCGATATAGCTACCATTTGTAGCAACGACAAATTTTATAGGAGAATTAACAGAATAGTTATGGTGCAAAATAATACAGATTCATTTGTTATTAAGATTTATTAGTATTTTTTTTCCTTGAGCCTTGATTATAATTCTCCTATATATTATTCGTTCTGTAGCTCCTTTTCCTTTCATCATTTCCCTAAATTCACTTTAAGATGATTATTTTTATTGAAACATAACTTGTTTCTGAGAAAATAAATAAATAAAGGGCGAATTACAATCAAATTCTAAAAAAGAAAAATAATTATTAAAAAGTTCCAATAACAATCCAAGTAATCTGTAACGACAAATTTGAAAATAAAAAATATAATATTTGAGACTTATTTTGTAATTATTTTTCTTTCTTGAGTCCTTGTTATAATTCTCACATAAATGAAAGAAGTAGTCACCTGTTATTTTCCTTGTCCGAAAGCAATAAGCACACAAGGCAATTAGAAGAACAATCATAGCGAAAGTAGTTACTGGAATTCCCACCATCCCAGACTTTGGCAGCGTTCCTTTTGATTTCTTGGCATAATTTGCTGAGAAAATTAAATGGAAACAAAGTGATCTTTAAGACAAAGGAAAAAGAAATTAAAACCAGTAAAAGAAATGAAGAAGGAAAAGTCACACACACACACTATATATATAAACACAAACACATACATACCAAGTTCAACAGCATCAACACGAACATATAAATCATGGCCTTCTTCACTTAATACCGTTGTGTCCAGCAAATCTCCATGCCAAGTCAAGCACCCACTTCCGCCATTTCTCACATCTGAAGCTGCATAGCCATTACAAGTACAATTTCTCAAGCACTCTTGCTCACAATCCTCCATTCTCAAACCCTGCTGAAAATTGGCTATCGAAGTATCTGGAATCTTCACACCATCTACTTTAATGAAGCCTTCTCCATTATTCCCACACAAAGATGGTCCTTTCTTCCTCACACAACCAGCTGATTCATCGTTCATGTACCACTCATTAGGGTTACTAGGTTCAAACCCAGGTAGGCAAAAACACTTGTTGTAAGCATAGTTGAAAGAATCACACTTGCTGTTGGCTCCACAAGTTCCGTAGGTTTCACAATTGCTTGCTGGGTGTGTCCCATATAGCTTCCAATCATTTGTGTCATGATCCCATTTATGTGTTTGCATGTAGCCCGTTGAAACAACTCCGACCCGAAAGATGGCGGTAGGATCAACGGCGTGATATGTGAGTCCGGCAGAATTATCATCGTCTGTGATAGTAAGGTTTAAAGCATATGACAGTTCTCTTTTCATAGATGGCAAACCCACAAATATTTCGCCATTGAAGAACCCACCTCGCCACAATGGAACTTTTTTATGGTACAGAAAAACTTGATCTTTCCCAGATGTGTTGGACCTGAATGAGATATTTCCTGTTCCTGGATCATCTTCTGTCTTCCATGACTGCAACAACCAGTTCTGACCAGTTCTTTTGTTGAAACCCAGTTTGGCATATGGAAGAAGGGTGTCAGTGAGATGATCAAAGCTTTGCCACAACACATTTTTGGAGTCATTATTTTGAATCAGAACGAGATTACCTAAATCAGTGAGCTGAGCCATAACTGTATTACTTGGAACAGGGACAGAAACATTCGAGGACCAAATGGGCAAGTTGGTAGAGTTCTGGCGGAGGACGAGATTTCCATTATTTGGGTTGAGGAAGAGAACTCCAGAAGAGTCATTTATGGGATTATCTCTATTGGCAACCCAAACAACAGTTTGCTTTGGCAAGTTATAGTACCAGATTCCAACAAAGCGAAAGGCAGATTTGCCTGGAGAGAAGAAGCCAAGAGCAAATTTTCTTCCTTTAGAAATGACAAGCTCTCCATTATCGCTAAAGGGTTTGCCAATGGTTATGGCGTCAGAAGAAAAAGCTGCACAAAACAAGAAGCAGTAATTGAAGAATAAGATTATACATATGAAAATCAGCCTCATAGCTATCTTCGTTCTCAGAACTTCGATTACTAATGGTATACAAATTGTAGCCGATGATACTCCTTGTATAAAAGGTGAGGAGTAGTTTTCTTGTTTTTCTCCTGCATTACATGATTTTTAGATCTATATAATTGAAAAAATGGAGAGTAAAACTCATCAATACATAAAGGTCAATCACTATTTATTTTTTTAGTAAGAGAAAGTTTAGGAGAGTTGGTTTCATGTGTTGACCAGGGTTAGGACATACTTACAAGTTGAAAGAGTGTTTATAGAGATATTCACAAATTGCCTACTAACAAAGTCCTCATATAGGCAGTTGGATTTAAACTCACGATTTTGTGAGTTATGAGACAGCTCTTTACTAACTAGACTAACTCTTGACGGCACAAGTTATAAATAATGTTAATTAATTTTTTTTAAAAGACAAATTATTCATCGACATTGGAGTTTACGCATGGGAGGCCAAGTATTGATAACCATTTGAGATTTCAAATCCAATCATCAATGTGGACACCCAAGACTATGCTATTTGCTTCTTTAAGAAAAAATATATGGCATCTAATTCTTAATATATATATATATATATATATATGAGTTAGTTATAAAATTATATTTAGTCATAAATATAAGATTTTAAATAATTTTGTCTCTCATATTTAATCCTTTGGTCATAAATGTAGGAAATAGTTGATGAGTTAGTTTTGGCTTTAAATGCAAGACCTTAATCTATTTTATTTATCATATTGATCAAATTTCTTCAAATTAATTTATCTAATTTATTTACAAATTGATATATAATACAATGTTACACAGGAGTATTTGAGGGAAATCAAGTTATATTTGTCATAATCAATTAATTAATTAATTTTTTTAATGTATTTAAATTTAATAAATAGGTAGCAGGAGGTTTTAGAAACATCTACTTGCTTGTGCGAATATATATATATATATATATATATATAATAATAATAATAATAATAATAATATAAAATATCTGCTTGCATGGACAACCTCCAGAGATATCGCTGTCCGAGTCAATTACAAGTTATTGCGAGCCACTGAAACGTTTCGTGAATCATTACGAGTCAAGTCTTTAGAGGCATCATTGTCCGTCCGAGTCAACAGAAGAAGGAGTGAAAGAAACCATATCGGTTTGTTAGTGTCATAATTCAAACATTGCGATGAGGTCGGAGGAAGTTTTTCCAACTTTGCATGCTCATTCCTTGAATTAAAAGCCGTCTCATTCAGACGACTTCTTCATCGGTGACTGTCCAAGTAAACACACCGAATTATAAATAAGGAAACTGTCATGAAGTCTCGAGAAATAAATACACTACCTCCAGTCCTAAATATAAAAACTAGTTGACTAATTTGAATAGATTAAGAAAACAAGTTAATTTAGTTATTTGCAATAAATATGCGCTGTCTTTTCTAAAATATCCTTACCAATCAAGTTTATTAGTTAGAATTACCATTATTAGAAGAACTATCTTGAGAAAAAATAAATAAATATAAGAAACAAAATGGATTGAGATTTTATATTTAGAATCAAAATAAAAGTCAAAGAAGATCTAATATTAAAAATCTGAGTTAGTAATTGTTAACAAGTCTGTATGATACAAAGCAGTTAGCATATAATGACCAGTTTCAATATAGAAAATGGTAACTATTCACTTGTTATTAAGATATTTCGGTAATTTTGTTCTTTTCTTAGGAATTCATAATAATTCTCCCTTGAATATTGTATTAATCCCAAAAAAAAAAATCTTTGAGGGCAGATATTTTATCATCCTTATGTGGACCTACTTAATTCGAATTAATTGGAATCTAATAGGTTTGATAGAACCTGAAATGGCCCTGGAGATAGAGGGCGTTAAATTAATGTTTTATGAAGGGCCATAGTGTGTTGATTAAACCTGAAATAATCTCTGTCCCATGCCCACCATTTACTACTTGGAGAGTATTCGGCCATCCCCTCAAAAATTTATTTTTTGTTTTAGGATAAAATTTATTTTATATATTCAATATTTTAAGGGTTAATATCTGTGTTCTTTCAAGTTTATACAAATTTCGGCATTCGTTTTTTAAATTTCAAATCATAGGTTTTGATTCCTTAATGAGTAAAACGATGTAAGTCTTTTATTAAATTATGAGCACCACTGTCTTAAGGGTGTATTTGGCTCAAAAAAAGAGAAGGGAAGAAATGGATTTTAATGGAAGGGAAAAGAAGAAAAAGGAGGAGAGGAGTTTTAATATTATTTTGTCTGGATTGATGAGAGGAAAAAGAAGAGGAAGGATTTTTAATGATTTGATATATGATCTAATAAAAGCGCAACAATTACCATCCCTTTTTCACCTGATGTAAGATAAAAAAGATAACATGGGGATATTAAAAGTTAATTCTCCCTAATTTGGGAAGGGGGATTCCAAAAGATTTTAGCAATCCAAATAAGGGCAGGGAAGTAAAATCCCTCCTACCTCCTCCCTTCCCCCATACCAAAGTGATATATTTCGTTTTATAATTATAAAGGCCAATAATAATAAAACCACTTTGAATTCATTATGGGTGGGTCAGAGTAATTAGTTCTAAATTAAATGAAATTTTTTGTCTCCAACATTCTTTGTACGTTCACTGAATGTGTCGGCAGCTCAAATGAGCCTCCACAGCTACAGAATAATTTATTTTCGTTTTTTGGTACATTTCTTAACTTAATGCTAATTAATTAAATCGGATTTATTAAATTCCTTTTGAGTGGGTTTTCCTGAATTAAAATATGCATGTCCGGTCAGACGTACCAAGCTGTTTACTTCATCCGCGAACTGGTCAATCAGCATTCCAATCATAAATAGCTATCATACCAAACTTTTGTTTTCAGTCTGGAATTATTTTTCCCTGTGTTCGTTAGAAGTTATATTTGATTTTAAATATAAGATTTCAATTCAATTTGTTTCTTACATTTATTATTCTTTTCCAAATTATTTTTCCTAGCTTATAAACCAATATTTAATCTAGTGTCTCATAGGGATAGTTTAGAAAGATTAAGTCATATTTATTATAATTAATTAATTTATAACTTTTTTAATCTGTGCGAATTAATTAAATAGCTCTTATATCAAGGAGTGAAGGAAACATGAATTTGTTTTTCTCTTTTGCTTTTGGCATAATCTAACATCGATCTTTTCTTAGGCTAGATATAACATCTCTTCTATTTCTATGTTACTATGGTAATTTCAGACATGCATGTTCATGGGTTTCTACCAAATTAACTTCGGTGGAAAAGACAAAAAAAAAAAAAATCCGATCATGGGACACTTAATCATATGTATTTAGAAAAATAGAAATTACCCTATTTCTTGCAGAATCATGACTCCAGGAGTGCACGTTGAAGGTCATTCCCCGTATTACATATGGTTGAAAGAGTAATACACGAAGTGGTATTGTACTTTACTGATGTTCTAATATTACTGTGTGGATCAACTTCTAATAATCTTTGAAGTTTCGACTAGGCTTAATCAATTTCATCAGCAACCTATTATAAGCTAAACGTGCATTCAATCATCTTATTTTTCAGGTACATTCAACACCCCGATCTTTTTTTTCTTGTGCATTTAACATCATGATATTATTTTTTTAGTTATATCTAGCATCTCAATCTTTAGGGTGTTAGATGGACCAAAAATGAGATTAGGATGCTGGGTGCACTAAAAAAAAAAAGATCAGAGTGCTAGATACACCATACAAAAGATTAAGATACTGAATGTATTTGGAAAATAAAATCAGGTTACTGAATGTCCCTTTGGCCCATAGAGAATCAAATAAAACGTAAAAAAAAGATGAACTTTTATTCAGGATTAAGGCGTAAAAGTTAAAGATCCATTAAGTATACCTTTTTTTTTTTTGGGTGCCAAAATCCATGAACTATGCCTTTGATTTCTCACTTGATAACAGGGTTTTTCTTGTCTAAATCCATTTCATTTGTCTTCCAAAAAGAAGACAGGACGCTGAAGTTTTACCTAGTCAAACCGTAGACTTTCTTTGACATCGATCTTAACAAGTCTATTAAAATTTATGGAGTCTTTATACCCAAACAAAAAAAAAAAAATTAACGGAGTCTTTCACCGCAGCATTTAGAACAGAAACAGTAAAATGATGAGCTTTTCCATTTAAGAAGCAAAATGAAGGGTTCAAAATTTTCATGCAGGAAATAAAGTTCCCCTTCACCATCATTCTCGCCAAGTATTTCTCTTTGATATCTTTGTAGTTTCCTACAGTTTTGAAAGCAAAGGATTCCATATGACTTTAACATAATCCACCATTAATAGCCGCGCATGCTAGTTTACTCAAGCCAGGCAATTCCAGTTTCAAATATCTGGTAATATGATTACTTCTCCCCCTATAAGATGTAAGAACAGGATTTGCATTAATCCTAAGTATAAAATCTTAATTTATTTTTGTCTTCCCAATTTATAACTTCTCTCCTAAACTCTTTCTAGTGATTTCACTTATTAAGGGGAATTTCATCTAGAGAGTAGTTTTCAATGTAAATAATTAAAATGGGTACCTTAGAAAAATCAACGCACATTTTTTTTGCAAATAACTAATTTAATTAATTTTTTTCATATCTGCAAATTAGTTATCTAACTTTCATATCATAGAGTATATATCCTGCAAATTCTCAGCCATATCAGAAATTAGATCCCAGATGATTAATTTTCTAGATACTTTGTCCATAATAATATTCGAAATTAAATGTATAATATAATAGTCCTCTATATTTTTTTTATTAATAATATATTTGTATTCATTTTGCTCCGTTCTTAGTGCTTCTTTTTTCCTTCAGCAAACAATGACATTGTCTCGTGTTGTTTTCCAATTTGAACTTGAGAGACCAGACGAGGCAGAAAAATTGAGCCTAATGGTGGGAGAATGTCGCTGAAATTTGGGCTATGAGCTGGGGGTGTTGTTGATTTGTATGAGATTTTGTAGTTAATTTAATTAGAAAGTCAGACTTTAGGTAAAATTTTATTGG